GTTAGACGCAGCACGCTGGGGATTGGAGACGTAGAGGAGGTGGAGTCAGACCGTCCAGAGTTGCCAATTAGAGATGCAGAGGCCGAGGGTCCATGATCGCGAAAGAGTTGAAGCCTTGTTGAGGATGGTAGTCAATGGCTTGCGTACGTTTCGGCGGCATCGCCCGCTCATCAGTGCCACACATCCCAAACTTAACCCTTTTTTATAGCAGGGATAAGGAGATCTTTGCTTACTGAACGCCTATCGCGAGGTTTAAAGATAATCAATCGAGAGGATTTTTTCTTACTCACTACCAACCCTAAGCCATCGACTGGAAAGAAACGGTGATGATACAATACCACTTGCTATCACCATAACGTCATCAATGCTATAAAATAGGATTCAGTTTGGGGATATATGGCACTAATGAAGAGGGCGATATCGCCGAAACGTACATATGTCACTGACTTACCAACCTCGAAAAGGCTCTAAACATTCTCACAGACTCTATTATGTAGTTTTCTACATACCTATAACGGTCAGAAAATGGTAGTTTACTTTGAAGACCAAAATTCTATTAACATCGGCATAAATAAGCTCCCTCACAACATCACATACCTCTTTCAAATGAATATACATTGGAATCTTGCGGGCCTGAGAGTCGGTCATATTGAGTGAATTTAGAACATGTTGAGATAATCTAGAACAAATTGGCTTAGCATCAAGCGTCTCTGTTTGTTGGCAAAATTCAAACAGTTCTCACCGAGGTGGACGTGGAGACGAACCGCTGTACTTTGAATCTCCAATTAACGGACATCTGGCCATAGCAAGGTGAGCACGAATTTGATGAGAGACTTCTGAACATGACAATCTCTCAAGCATTCAAAAACCTCCATTAGACCATATCTAGGAAGAAACTGACCTCTTCGTGTCCGCACTTCTACACTTGATACGTACTGCCTTCCTTGGACGGTACGGCATTCTGACTCCACATAGAATACTTCGCCCTTCGTCGAGTTTGAAATCAACGGAAGAAGCTGAAATCAGTAGTTATGCATGCCGATTCGTAAAGAATAGAAGCGTAGAGCTCTGGAGGTTGAGCAATCCCTGAAAGATACACCATGCATTCGTCTTCATCGATAATCGCTATAGTTGAATGCAGGGATATATAGTCCTTACAGTGGGTATCAGAACTCGCGGTGGCCTACTGATGTATCAAGTCAGTGCTACTATTCTCTCAGAGAACCCTGGTACCAACCCGCCAACCCTCGAGGGATGGAAAGATTGATGAGCCTTGAGCGTGGGACCGAACATCGATCAAGTTCAATACACTTCTGACTCTGATAAAAAAACTCTCGGCGTTGATCATCACCTACAGAATGCGCCATGCCATGGTTGGTCTTCAATTTTTAGCTTCGTTTGAGGTGACTGAATGCTTATCTGGCCTTTACAATAACTCACGGTGGCCTACCGCTCTATCGAGTCAGTGCTGCTTAGCCTCCCAGATAAGTATGCTACTAGTCTGGTGCCAATTCACTGCCTCCGGAAGGATGGAAGACTAAGTAAGCCACTCAAGCGAGATCGAAGCATCGACCTCATGCACGATGAAGAACAACTTCATCACTGCGCCACATGCGCTTTTCTGACTCTAATAATAAATAATAAATAGAACGACAATACACCTTAACATCTCTATTCTTCACTGTTTTGATCAAAGGTATGGTAATCTTTATGGGAGAATCCTTGAGTTCGTCACGAACAATGCACCTGAACAGCAATCGTATACAAACTCATAGTCATTATAACCCTTCATAAGTTAGAGATACCTGGTTACCTGCTCTACCAGTCCCTTCTGAAAATCCTCCTTCAAAGCCAATTGCATAGCCGAATTTCTAAATATTAGACGTCAAACTTTGGCTAGAATATTCAACGATAAAATCTACAAAAATTCTTCACTTCACAGCTTTTTAAAAGTGTTACGATGTTATAGTTATAAATCCAACGACCTGAGTGATATTCAAAACTTTCGACTCCACGCGTCCTCCATATAGGTGAAACGTGGGCTCAACTCCCGCCTGAGGTCGAAAATTTTGCACATCACTCAGCATCATTGGATATTTCGAAAAATCTCTGTTCATCGAGAAAAACTGTCTTATTCCAGTATATAACATAGGTACGTACGTGGCGAACAGAACAATGCCAGACTGGTATTTGTCCAACGATCTCACCAAATATAGACGCTCGCATTTTGGAACGACCTTAGCCTTAAAAGCAACAATAATCTACTGTTTAAAAGAAAAAATCGTTTCAGTTATGTAGTCCGGGGACAAATGAAGAAACGACCCTTTCGCCGGACAAGAACTTTCTATGTGTTAGCAACCAATGGAGAGCTTAAACCTCTGGCTACTGTTTTTACTGAAAAACTCTTTTTCTATGCTTTGGCAGAAATGAAACATGTGTTTTACAGACGCATATTTCTCGCATGAATAAACTCTATTCTCAAATTGTGGGTAACCATTCGATAGCGTAAGTTTCGACGAATTTAACGCCCTTCTTGTTTTCCTGGAAAGACTGTCTCACTGCACTGTAACAGGGAAAATAAGGTCGAGTTTATATACGCTACGCATTTACTTATCGGCTAGTGTGTGCTGGGTGTGTGCTAGTTGTGGCTTCCATAAGGCGTTCTCCGATCGAGAGATCGATCGCGCTGGGGCGACTCACATGTAAAGTGCAATTTTTGTTATTCAATTTGGGATTTTTCTCCGTTTTGTTATAAACTCCAGATAAAATATATGACTCTTACATTACAAGGTTTTCTCTATACGTTCATATGCTCTTCGTGCTTCCAGCGAACAAACAGTAAAAGTGCGCGGCCGGTGTAAAACATAATTTTATACTGAATGCTATAGCGTTCTGGAAGAACTTTTCAAAATACAGCCATGTAGCGCAGTAGGCGGAGATTCAAGCTCTCGAATGATTAATGACACTATCTATGAAAAGTGTTGTCCAGCGAAATGGGTCGTTTCTTCACTTGTTCCCGGACACATACTCGCACCAAAGTCTATTTTGAGGAGAAAGCAAGAAAAAGGAGAAGAGCGAAAATGAAAAAAGAGAGTCAATCTGTTGATCGCTAGAAGAAAGACAACATGTTCTGATGGTACACAATCCTGCAGTGCCGCTTGGAGTCGAGCTTATTCATAAATCCACTAATTCAGTGAATTGAACTTGAAACACATGAAGAAGACATTTATAATGAAATTTATTCAATAAGCTGACAGCTCGACGGATTTTGCCTTCTTCAGAGCCTGGAAAGCTCAGGTTGTCTGTAATTCAGTCAGCCAAACACCTCCATCACTTCAACACAAAAATTACAAAACCAGATTTCAGTCCATCTAAATCTTTCTGTTAGAGTGATACAGGTGCTTGGCTGAGTGGCTCGTAGACAACCTGATCTTTCCAGGCTCTGAAGAAGGCGAGACATCCGAAACGTCAGCTGTTCAAATGAATATTATGATAAAACCTCGCCGTTCACTCATCAACAAGAAATATAAACCACTGAACAATGCCAACGTTAAGAGATAGTCGTCATTGGAAATTGCACGGAGAGGTCCGCGTTTTCTTTTGAGGACTGGAGAATACATCGACTTATGAGTCGAATGGTCCAAAAGCAATGTAAAAACTTTGGCCTACCTTAATTCTCTGAAGTAATCTGTCTAGTTGAGGTACAGTTGACGATGCGCCTGAGTAAGCCATGCCATAAGGCTTATCAAAAGCTACAATATCATCTGGAAAGATAAAGTTACTTATATAAAATGATCTGTAACATAGTGAACCGATAATTCTCACCATTCTTGAAAAGAACCCTGTTCACCATCAGATCCACGAATCATCCGCGCTGATCTTCCATCTGTATGAACTAACGCGGATTTATCCCAGCCTGTTTCTTCTTCTGACGAATGAGTCACTTCCGAATCATAATCATCCTGTAACGAAGCTGACTGTTCACTCGATCCACCCATTTCACCACTTATACAGATAAAGTTCACCGATGTGTTATCACATTTCATTGAAACATTTAAACAAGATAAAGCGCTGAGAAAGAAGTCGCCGAAATGTTAGCCATCGATTTCGATAGCAAAAAAGCGATATTTTGAGCACATTCAGTTCTAATACTTGCTTGTTTTTTTCTAATCATGAAAGAATATGAAGCCAAAAGGAATCACAGCGATGACCAATACGCTTGAAATGATTCTAAAAGATGAAATTAGTTCCAAAATCAACTCACTGGAAACGACTCGTTTCTAGGACTTTTCACAGCGCTACTTTGCCTCAGTTTCGCAGAGAAATCCATATTTTCTTCATGGAAGATCTTAGCAGAATCCTTTCGTTTGATACGTTTATGATTTTGAGAATTTTCATGCTGGAATCGTATCTCACTGGAAGTCGTCGATGCTCTGCAGATAATTTGATAATTATCTTCTAGAAGAAAAAAGAAAAAACATTAAAAGAAATTCAGTTCTATGATAAGACCGAAAATTTGAAGCTCAATCGACGTAAACCACATACTCAACAGATTTTACTCTCCGGAAGAAGGATTCCTCGAAGAAATCCTTAGGCTGTTCTTCCTCGTTTTCTATATTTGCTGATGTTGGCGTCTAGAAATGAAAGAACCGCATAGATCCGACTTTCATCAAAAACGGCAAAGATATGAGAAAACACTTACAGCTTCCGGAAAAAAGACCCTATCCAAATATTCGGTCCCTGATAATTCGCTATCGTCTTTCTCCATTATGCTGTCGTCATTCACAGAAAGTCGACGAACAGATCTGGTCATCGCCGTTTTTCCAGAAGAGTTAATCTCTTCTACAGCCTGAAAAAAATTAATTCAAGAGAACAGTGTGAAGAGATCTACAAAAGTATAGAAAGAATAAATAAGTGAAGAATGAAATAAAAGTGGTACTGATTGCAACTACAATACCAGCTATTGAGATGACCAATAAGTGAATGAGGTGCAAAACTTTTGCGTCGGGCGGGACTCGAACCTGCATTTCACCCTACCCCGGAGAGCGTGCTCTATCCTCTGCACCACCGATGCCAGTTTTGCTACCGCTCTTTCTACGTAACGACGCATCTATCTCTTAACATCATTGGGTATATTTATAACATCATACCACCGCTAAAAGAGTAAATAAGAAGAACTGTAAATATGTATTGGTCCTCCGAAATGGTTTGCTGCATCATCGTGGCTGGGAAGTGTTCTGGGATTCTGGACAGCGAAATACAGCGGAGGGTTCAACCTCCCATCAGGGCCATCAACACTGAGGAGTCCAGCATTTCCACTCAGAAAGCCCAGCTACGAGCTGATAGTACAGGAATGACCGCCGTTTTGGTAGCTGCTAGTCGCAAGGTGGTGATTTCCCTCTGATCCACGAGGACCGGAAACTGCTCTGATGTGGTGAAGGCTTGAGGAAGCCCAGCTAGGCTTACCTCGAGACTCCGGGAAACAAGACAGCCAAACCAGCGCAGTTTGCCTGTGCTGGGGTTCGCCCTATCAGTGAAGACGAACCGTCGAAGTGACCAAGCATTCAAATGATAAGTAATAATAAGTAAACAAGTGAGTAGGTGGCGAGATGCGTCGGTGGTTAGTAATATAATATTCAACGATGCTGAATGATACGCGGAACTATCGAAAAAGATACTTCGGTGGCTTATATCGAGGACAGAATGTTAGGCAGAGCGGTGGCCTCGGTGGTGTAGTGGTAACATCTGTCCTTGGTGAAGGTAAAACGCGGGTTCTACCCCACCTAGAGTCAATAATTTTGCATAAGACTCTTCATCACTGGATATATAATCATAATACCAGCACTGCTATAAAAGCAGTGTATAAAAGCAGTATATCCGCCGTCACAGTGTTTTTTCACTGTGAGAATCCCAGCACGTCTAGCGTTAGATTCGTTTTTCCGTCTTCTTATTGAACATCGTAGAATAATGATTGATC